ACGTGCAGTTTGTAATTTGGTGATTTAAATAAGTAAGCATACTCTAGACAGTAGTGCTGAAAGATAGAACAAATGTAGAAATTAAACTGGGAGACTACAAGTCTAGAAGAGATAACTGACTCTAAATCTAATTAATTCTCTGGATATGATGGAGTGTATCATCACATTAAATGGCTCAGCCACTACGCCTGATGGGGACATTTTGTTTGTGAAGTCAGGCTTATGGATCTTTTTGTTTGTTGCAAATAAAGTTGTTTTGTTGTCAGAATACACTTTACCAGCATATTAAAGAAAGTAAAAGTTGACAAATTTATATTGATTGCTGTGGTCATGGAATATTTTCATGGTCATACTGTAAAATGTTTTTGTTTGACTACTTCAGAATATGAACTGGAATGGCTCTGTCAAAACAGGGCTGCTGCTGCTGCTGCTGCTTTTGGCCTTAGGGACAGGGAGGACGAGACAGACTGGAGGGATTGTATTGATCCTTATGGAGCAGAGGCAGCTCCACAAATACTAGATGACTGTCTCTCTGGTAGGGTTAAAAAAAACAGGTGGGTAGCGTATGTGGGTGGTGTGCAGACTAAGGTCCCAGGGATGTGAGAGAAAGATGAGATGGAGAGCTTTGTCAATATTACTCGTAGGTCTAAGAAATTAACTCACAGTGACCAGATGAAGATGGAAGGGTCTTCTAAAATAGATCAGCACACACACACACACACACACACACACACACACACAGTAATTAGCGTGTTTGAGGTGAGGCTAGAGTGTACGTTTCTTGGCCAAACTGTGACAAAACACATCCTCATGCAACATGGATCTGCACAGTGATTTGAAATGTCTCATATGGCTTCATAGAAATATAAATGAGGAAATGAGGAGACAAAAGATAAGGTTTTGAGTAATTGATGAACTCAGGTATAACATGGTGAATTTAAGTTAATAAACCGATTTTCATTTTCCTACTTGCTATTGGAAAGATATTTTTAAACTAATTACCTGAATGAATCATACAAGCTTTTATGACTTAAGTCTTTCTTTAAGTTTTCCATCATATAGTTGCTAGGGCTCCTGTTGTTGTTTTGATGGTTGGCTCTTGACTGTGTTTTTGTTGTTTTTGTTGCATGTTGGGTGACTTTTACTAGAGGTATCAGTGCAGAACCAAATAGGTGCCAAAACTAGCAGAGAGTTTTGGCAGTTCAGGGTTTCTTTCTTTGCTTTTCTTTATTTTCAGTTTTGTGATCTGCCTAGTGTGTCTCTGTTTTGTTGTATTTACTTGTGTAGAAGTCTGTGGAAGGCTTGTGCACCCCACTACAATGATGTCACTGAGATAAATAGAGTTGGGGGTGCTGGATTAAGAGTCATCTGTGGTGGAAAGGCCAGGGGATTACATGGATACTATACTGGGGACGACTATGTTTGTGTGTGTCTGTATACTTGAAGTCATCTGTCGCTCCATGTGAAAATGCACGTCCTCCCTATATCCACACACGCGTGTACTCGGTATATAACCATGTATATAGAGCCTGATAAATTAGAAGATCTGATATATCAGTTGATATTAGCTTATTGCACATATATCAGTATCAGAGTACATGTTTGCCAGTAAGTAGCAAGAAATGTCAGCACAGAAATGCCAAAGATCTGTTAATGTAGAAACAGTATTGTCATTTTCTTAGTTTGTTTGATTACAATTCCTTAAAAATCTAATTTCTTTATCAAAAAGGTTTGCTTATGTTTGCTTATGCCTACATGTGATCATGTAAGAAATTTGATATTCACTAAGAAATACTAACAATAACATATATTGTTAGTTGTCTTAAAAACCCAGTATTAGTTGGGCTAGGATAATATGCATGTATTTTCTATTACTCTTATATGTCCTTTAGTATATGATTGTCGGATCATGATGCTCACATCCTTTTAAGCATGTATGTGCAATATTGAAATGTTTTACAGTGTGATGCCAGTATTATACTGTGGAGAGTTACCCTCTGTTCATTCCTAACTCCACAGCCTTGAAGCTGGACAGCAGATGGCAGAGACTAATTGTCACAGGCCAAACACAGCATCAATAATGACACCAATTATAGAGGAGAGTGAGCACACCACTCTCAAAGCCATAGACTTACTATGAGTGAGTAAATTACTGTGTGCACATACTGTAACTATAGTAATTTTTAAATTATAGCTCTCTTTATCTTAAATTTATGGCTGTGTTTAGAAAGTACACAGACATCAGTAAACTAGATTTTCTCAGTGTAGCTTAGTTTCAGGAGACAGATGTATTTTATCCTTTAGTAGTTAACACTCTATTGTGTTTGTTATTGTCTGGAGTGGAGCTGGCATCATCTGTTTCCAGCAGGTCTAGAGTGGGGAAGGCCCCTCTATGTCACTCTCAGGTGTGTTTACACACGTGTCAATGCGTACGTGTGTGCAGGTAACTCTTTATCAAGTGTGTGCATGCCCATGTGTGAGAGAAGTGACACAGTATCTGCTGGTACAGCTGTCTTTTCTTAAGCTGGTTTCTGTTCTTGGACATTTTACAAGGATTTTCATGCTCTGTCACAGATTACAGCCGCAGCCACTGTCACCAGGGCTTCATAGATAATCGTAGTTATGCCCTATTTGACTTTGTTTAACTTTTGGCTGACTGTTTAGTCTTTGCAGCTGATCTCTTTCTCCTTGATGTCTTCTATTTTGATATAAAAAGCACAGGCTAATGTGTTCATGAGCTGAAGGAAGGAAACAAAGGAAGCTCTAGTCCAAAGATTGTTCATTGATAAGAACACTGGTTTATACTCGATAGTCAGCCTTTGGTTGCAGCCTGTTAGTTGTGTTTGCTGAAATCATAGTTATTTATATCCCTGTGTCTGTTTTCAGTAGACTGTGAAAAGATAAACAGTTAATTTAGTAGAGATTGTCATCATCGCCATTGACTTACCTGTGAATGCTTTTAATTTACTGCACATTACACATGATGTTGCGTGCAGTTGGATGTACCACCATCAATAATTGAATGCTGTAAAGAAGCCCCATGTTATATGTGTGTTGGTGTGTTGGGAAAGAAGTTTTGTGAATCCTTCACTGTCATGAGGTGTGTCAGTAGTAAACATTTACATTGTAAACTAGGGCAGTATTACAGAAAGCAGCTTCAGTGAAAGCTCTGAGTTTCTTACCTCTGAGATGGGAATCTCTGGGTTTTCTGTTCCAGAAACTGAGGTCACTAACTCTGAGTCAGTTACCACGGTAACTTGCTCTGCAAAGCTAACCATCTTACTGGCAGGTTTTCTTAAACAAACCCTAAGTTTCTGTCTGTGTCCGCATCTCTTGCCGCGACTTAAGAAGCTTCTGACACAGCTCATCAAGTTTACATTTGGAGAAGATTAAAATCCCAATGGGAAATTAGTTTTTTACCCAGGACCTGTCTTTACTAACGTGACCTCTTTTATTATCACTCATCAATGTGAGGACAGAGTCAGAGATCTCTTACAATCAAATGTTGCACATGGTGACTTCATCCCCAGATCAGATTAAAATCTATTCACTGTCACTTTATAACACTGAGACGCTGTGGACATTATTAGAACTGTCAGATTGTCACTCAGCTCCTCTGTACTGAAACCTTTACTATGTATTGATCACTGTGAATTGAAAAGATTTTGTGAAGCTTTAGACACAGACTCTGATCTACGTATAGTAATTTCTCAAGTTATGATGATAGCTGTCATATCATATTGTAGATGATGTGATATTTCTGAGTGAGGATGACAGTAATGCAGCTGAAAATACTTCAACATTTAAAAACTGGAGTAAATGTTTATAATTTAGTACATGTTGAAATATAGTTTTGAAATGCTGTACAGCAATGTACAGCATGTAAATGTAAAATAGAGAAAATGTAGCTATACTTAGTTGTTACCTTTTCCAACCGAAAATCACCAAAATCTAGAGGCTGTTACTGTTTATAGTGATAGATCTATAAACTTACATGTCCCCATTAGGTTACAGGTGAATGAATATATTCCAGCACTTTACATCCATTAAGGAAATAAAAATCTGCTACATAATGTGGTCTAGTGGACTACACTGAATAAAATGGAGTAGTTTTAACTTATTTACCCTTTCATTCCTGCTTTAAAGATAACTGTGCATTAACGTCACACATTATCTTTCTGGCTACACTCGGTTAAATGCTCTTTAAATACATGTTACCATGGCGATTTGTTGAATCGGAGCTCCATTCCATTGATGATGGCGTTTTACATTCCTCATGCACACGGTTAAGTCAGAGTGAACATACTGTGAGTTGATCGAACTAACTCAGATCAGCTGTTCAGGAACTGACAACTCAGTTTCCCATCTAAGGGTTCATCAACTCAGGGTTAGGCTCAGAGTTGGTTAAACCTGCTTTCTGTAATACCCCCCGAACATTATCAGTTCAACAACTCTTTGCTCTAGCATGTACAGCACATACATTTTATGAGCCAAGTTAACTGACCATACAGCTAAATGGATGTTCAAGCCAGATTGTTTAATTACATTGTGTGGCTCCAGATGCAGGAAAGTAAACCAGGTATTTACCTCTGGCCAAAGGGAACTTACTCAAAATATATATTATTCAGTCAGAGATAACTATTGAAGTTACTTTTTACAGAAGACAGCAGTTTCACATTAGATTTTTTTTCAGGCAGTCCTAAAAACATTAAAACTAGTTTAAGTGACAGACACTATAAATGCTTAACTGTTCTGCATGCTGCTTTTCAGCCTTTTGCCAGTTTATGGCTGTTTTATGTTTGAATGGTGGCAAATGTGTAGATGTTTCTGTGATTGTGTTGAAAATGCTAATTTTTTGCTGGTTGTTACTCGTTTCTTGTTGTCAATCACAGGGCACAGGATCTGAGAGGGAATACTGTATAATTTTTCATTTCTGATTTTGACATCATGGCGACTCCCTGTGTTACTGTCACATACTACAACTCTGTATCTACTTACAGATCTGTGTGGTGCATCTGGGCCCAAGCCCCTCAGGCCCCAGCGATCCCTCCCAGGGACGCCTGTTTCTCTCACACACTACCCCATTGACCTGCGAACATCCATGGAGGAAAAGTACAAAGAGATTGCTCAGGTAAGAACTGAATATCAGACAGATATAAACTGTAAACTCAGAGAAACAGAAACACTGAGCCATTATTACATTAGAGTGTCTAGACACAGCTGGTCAAAATAAACTTCAACTTGGTGCAATATTGGTTAATTTAAAAATTAGTTTTATCAGTTTTACAACCAGTCAGATATTTTTATCTGCTGTAACTGGTATTTACAGCAGTTAACAAATAAACTGTCTGTCATCTCAGTGACCTATGTTTTTATTATTGTTAATAATTTCAGCTTTCAATACAAGACAAGATGAATCTGAGACAATGGTTTATTGATTGACTTCAGGAAAACCCAAATAATAAAAAAGTACAAAACTGTAAATTCCAAAAAAATGACTTGTGAAGTGTGCAAAACATCAGAAACCAGTTCAGTATCTGCCCTGGGAATTTAACGCTTTATTTGAACAGGTGGTTTTGTGTAAGTCTCAGTGTCTCCCATATGTCCATAAGCATGGAAGTAGACCTGTTTTCCCTTTTTATGACACCATAAATGGTGTAACTTATGTTTACATCAGGAGCTGTTCACGCGCAGCATGGCAGAGAGCGAGATGCGAAGCGCTCCTTATGAGTTCCCAGAGGACAGCCCTATTGAACAGCTGGAGGAGAGACGGCACCGCCTCGAGAGGCAAATCAGCCAGGACATTAAGTGAGGAAATACAAACACATCACACACACAAAGCCTGTTAAATAAACATGACCTCACACAGACATAGCTCTCCCTCCTCCCCTCACCTTTTACACACAGTCTTGCTTCCCCCCATGCACCCATGCTTCCGACATGCCAGTTTGTGGGCTAACTAACCCTGGTGATCAGCTAACTGGGCTAGCCAGCAGATAGCACCTGCCCTGGTGTGCAGTCTTCTTTCACACAAACTTTTTTGAGGAGGTGTGTTCTGTCTCGGTTGCCTGGGTTCAGCGCTATCTACACCACTAAGCCGATTGTTTGGATGGTTATCTGACATGCCCTCCGCACGCCCCTGTTTACCAATCAGGGTTTATCTCTACTAGCTGATGATATTTTTCTGTTTATGTCAATCACCTGATCACTTAATATCTAAGGCTTTGTGTGGACGTGTGTGTGTGTGTGTGTGTGTGTGTGTGTTTGTGTTTGTGTTTGTTGGTGTTTGTGTGCGGGTGTGGGTGTGTGTGTGTGTGTGTGTGTTTGTGTTTGTGTTTGTTGGTGTTTGTGTGCGGGTGTGGGTGTGTGTGTGTGTGTGTGTGTTTGTGTTTGTGTTTGTGTTTGTGTTTGTGTTTGTTGGTGCTTGTGTGTGGGTGTGGGTGTGTGTGTGTGTGCCTGTGCGTGTTTGTGTGTGTGTGCTCTTGCATATATTTGGTCTCTCTCCCTTTGTGTGCTTAATTTCTTCTCACTACCTCTGACGCCCATCTGCCCCCCGCCTTGCCCACACTATACTGCGCCGCTGCATATCACCCCAAGGCTTGAGCCAGAGATCTTGCTCCGTGCCAAACAGGACTTCATGAAAATCGACAGTGCGGCAGACCTAGAGTGAGTGAGCTCTGCCTCAGTATGTATGTTTGTACTGTATGTTTAGTATTTATCAGTACTATATATTTATCTGGTGTAAGTACTTTTTCTCCAGAACAGCTGAGAGAGATTATCAGCATATTGAGATGGACCACATCTTCCCCCTGCTGGTGAAATGATAAATGTTCAAATGGGTATCTTTTTGTTTTGCTATTTACTCTCTAAATACAAGTTTCTCTAAGTCTAAATTTTGTGAGTGCATTTTCATATTCTATTGATCTTGATTTAACTCTTCTCTCCGTCACTGAGATATGACCCACTGAAGTGTATACTATGGATACATCTTACTAGATGTTGTCCTATTTGTACAGTGGATTTGAAAAATATCAAGGCACCTGAAAGAATTTGCAGAATATGATAGAAACTTGATAAACTTAACATTAAATGCGACGATACTCAAAGCTTGAATCACAGCTATAGTGCTCCTACAATACAGTATATTGAATAAAGGATGATGTCTTGATTGGATTCATAATATACATAAAGAAGTTGTAAGTTTAATTGATTTCAACATTAAAATGTGCATGAAGTGAGTGGGTCTAAATGCTTTCCAAACATCTGTACTAAAAACAAACATGAACATTTTCCTTCCCCTTGTTTTACATTCTACGTTTCTCTGTCTGAATCTTTTAAGGTTAATGAAGGAGCAGAGTGTGGACACAGTTGATGACGGCTTTAAGGGGAGGGAAATGCCAATGGAGCGAGAGTACCAGCGGGTCTCAATATCTGGAGAGGAAAAGTGTGGGGTGAGGAGCTTTCATCGAACTGCTTTCATTTGACTTGTGTGTGATCTTACAGGCAGTCAAATCTACACCCCAATAAATAAATGAATTCTACTCGCACCCATTCTCATACGTGTGTGTTGATATCCCTCCAGGTGCCTTTCACTGACCTGGTAGATGCTGCTAAGTGTGTGGTGAAGGCGTTATTCATTCGGGAGAAGTACATAAACCGATCCATGCAGAGCTTTTGTAAGACCACAACTCACGCCTTACAGGACCTCGGGATGAAGCCTCTGGATCTGAGAGTCTATGATGACATACCGGAGACCCCTGTAGATGCTGGTATGCCGGCAGACACAGGATATGGGTGCAACACGTACTGTATCTCGACAGGGCAGAAGGAGCAATAAGCGATTGTTTATCAAAAAGAACAACTTGATGAGGGCAAAAAGTTTTGTTTCTTATGTGAGGTACTTGATTAAACACTCATTATCAAAAAAAAAAGCCGCATGCACAAACTGCTGGCAAAAACACCGAACAATAACGTGAATGTGAAACACTCCCTTAACAGTTGTTTTTAAATGTTTTTTTTTTAATAAAGCTGAACAAATTCAGAGCAAAGACACTTAAACACTTCTCTTTGACCTGAGCAGTTTTTGTATCTTTGTTCATTTTTTCTAGTGTGTAAAATTGATTGATATCCACCCCCTGTTTTCCTAGATGCCCCCGTCCACCCACCTGTTTCCGAGACACACCCCTATGACAATCAGGACCCCAAGAATATGCCACCAGACACTGGATATGGGTGCAAGATGGTGGATGGAGTAGTCCGTGTCTACACCAAGAAAAACAACATGGAGTATGTGTTTGTACCTGTAGGACGACACATTCATTTAAAAAAGTGAGTCTATTTGTAAAACTTTTATTTTGTCTTCCTATTCAGAAGCACAGAACTGGACCTGCCGTATCCTGACCTGAAGGAGTATATTGCAGACATGAATGTTATGATGGCCCTCATCATCAACGGGCCAGTGTGAGTGTTTCTTTGACAGCATTGTTCTTTCCAAATATCATTTCCGTTTTTTTTTTTTTTTTTTTTTTTTAGCTCAGTGTATATTTTAAAAGAAAATGTCTGTTGTTGTTTCCTCTGCATGGTGTTCGCAGGAAGTCTTTCTGCTACCGCCGCCTCCAGTACCTAAGCTCCAAATTCCAGATGCACATCCTCCTGAATGAGATGAAGGAGTTAGCAGCTCAGAAGAAGGTTCCTCATAGAGACTTCTACAATATACGAAAGGTGCTGCTAGCTTAACTAGTTGATCCATCACTACTTTTTTTGATAGCATCACTTGGCTACAATGTTCCCACAACTACAAAAAATTAAATAAGTTAACCTTATTACTAAACCCCTTCAAGCTGAACCACATCTTAACTGTGTGTATATTGTGATATAATCATCTGAATGAGATATTGAAATGTTAACGCCGAGTGGTACCGATGGTTCTGTGATCCAGATTTGATTTGGTATAGATACAAGGTTATTTCTGCCACTCACATCTACAAGAATCTATAGAAAACACTATTCTACAATACTTAGTGATATAACGGGTATCTTTGTTGTTGTTCTGCTCTGTGCTGACTCAAGGTGGACACACACATACATGCGTCATCCTGCATGAACCAGAAGCACCTGCTGCGATTCATCAAGAGAGCCATGAAAAAATATCCCGGGGAGATCGTTCACATTGAGCGTGGCCGGGGTCAGACCCTCAAGGAAGTGTTTGAGACCATGAACCTGACAGCCTTCGACCTGAGTGTTGACACTCTCGACATGCATGCGGTGAGAAATGGGAGCAGCAGTACAAAATGGCAACAAAATTGTATTAGTTTAAACAGTTTAGTTTGTTATGTACAAAAAACTGGTGACAACATGTGGTAGGGATACAATTTAGATTTAACTGGTTTCTCTTGCTTATCAGGACCGTAACACGTTCCATAGGTTTGACAAGTTCAATGCCAAATACAACCCCATAGGAGAATCCATCCTCAGAGAGATTTTCATCAAGACTGACAACCACGTTGAAGGAAAATACTTTGCCCACATAATCAAGGTGTGAAAAAACTCATTTATCTTTTTCTTTCTTTTTTTTTTTTTAACTAATACAAATAATATTACAAACTGATACATTGAGAATCTTCTGTCTTTATTTGTCCAGGAGGTGATGTTTGACTTGGAGGAGAGCAAGTACCAGAACTCTGAGCTACGTCTGTCCATCTATGGCCGCTCCCGAGATGAGTGGGACAAGCTGGCCCAGTGGGCCGTCAAACACCGAGTGTACTCTGATAATGTGCGCTGGCTTATCCAGGTGCCACGTCTATTGTAAGTACTCCTTCAACTTGCTTTACCTCGTAGCTGAGGTGTGCAGCATTTAACTCCCAGAGGCGAATGTGGTCAGAAGGAGTGCGTGTCTGAGGACACTCATTAGTTCCATAAGCATACATTAAGATTGAAGGTCCTGTTCTGGTGTCACTGGTCAGTGTAAATGTTTATCTAACAGACAAAGTTGTAACTAGAGAATAAACCGGGAAGAATCAGTTCAATGCAGTGACAGTGGTGGTGACATGATGCAGTCTGTGTGTTGTATGTGGTTATATCCCTGTCTAAGAGAATAGATGCGTATAAGACAACCTGTCCTGCCTACCTGGTTCCAGCCTATTCAAGAGAAAAGAAGCCAAAACACAAGCAGCTAGAATGGCACTCAGTAGAACAGAATCAAACAATCCTACACGTCTTTTGTTCTGAAGTGCAGCTTTATTTGTTCATTGTCTTTAATCCTTGCAAAAGACAGCTGTATGGTTTTATTACCTGTTGTATGAAATGAGGACATCAGCATTATACAACTCATTGCTATGTCACAACTGTTATTGTTATTGTGTAATTTTAGTACCTATTCATCTGTGCTGCTGGTGCCAAGTGCATATGGCACATATGGTTCCTTACTTTTAATATTAAGTACAACTCAAGTGCAAGAAGAGTCTGCATTTTTTTCTGCACCAAATTATAATGCCAGATTTCACAATTTTTAGCAATGTGATGACAAATTAATTTAATAAAACTTAATGGGTTCTTCCTTGGCCCCTGCCCCATCTCTCTAACAAGTCTGCTGCAAATTGGTTCATTACTTTTTACTTAATCCTGCTGAACAATGAACAAACTGGTAACTATAATTAACTCTTTAACTAGTGTGAAGCTTCCAGCCTCTGCAATGAAATTTACATTGGAAATAAAATGGGTATCATTTTTATAAAACAAATAATAATCATCTCTGAGATAACAACAATTGTCCCTGTTCAATCACCACCTCTCCAGTGATGTGTACCACACAAAGAAGCAGCTGGCTAATTTCCAGGAGATGTTGGAGAATATCTTCTTACCTCTGTTTGAGGTCACGATCAACCCCCGCAGTCATCCTGAGCTGCATCTCTTCCTGGAACATGTGAGTATCACGTCACAAGAAATCCAGACTATCCTGATGATTAACATTCAAAGAAACTGACAGAATATTGATTTTGTTGTGTGTTGCATGTGTTAAAAGGTGGTGGGTTTTGACAGTGTGGACGATGAGTCCAAACCTGAGCACCACATTTTCAACCTTGACAGTCCTCTGCCAGCCAACTGGACAGAAGAAGACAACCCACCCTACTCCTACTACCTCTACTATACTTACGCCAACATGACTGTGCTCAACCACCTGCGAAGGTACGGGCCAGCTGGACACATTTATAACACAAGAATCACGTTAATCACATCTATTCCTTGAAACACATAACTATTCAGAAAAACACATGAGGTTTTAATGTTGTTGTTTGTCTGACACAGGCGTCGAGGATTCCATACATTTGTCCTGCGACCTCACTGTGGGGAGGCGGGGCCGATCCACCACCTGGTGTCAGGTTTCATGTTATCAGAGAACATCTCCCATGGGCTGCTGCTCAGAAAGGTCAGGGCAGGACACACTGGATCGTGCTGAAAGACTACACATTCTGGCTGTCTAACATTTGAATTGTGTTCTAAAACTAATTTGGCAAGCTTTCATGTTTGTTGAATTTCCCCTCTTGTACTATATGAATGGGTGACATATATATATATATATGTTTGTTGAGACTGTCAAAGAGCAGTTAATTAATGATTAGTGATAAATGAATTGGATTGGGCCAAATTATGTTTTGAGAAGCGACTTTTTATTTTTGGGTCCCCCTGGCGTCACTGGTGAAAATACAAAGAGATTCAAGATTCAGTTTGTTTATCCACAAAAACTCAACATGGAAATTTCCATGCTCTCATCCTTATCAACCAGGGCTGATAACAAAAACACATATATACAAATACCAACAAAATAAAACCATAGATAAAAACAACATTAAACAACATTACATAATAAAACTGTTAAAATCATCCAAACCATAATATAAAAGAAGACCAAGGTAAGAAGTTCTGGTTATGGTCCTGTGTCCCCTCTGGGATAGAAGAAGAATACTGTTTAGTGTATGTGACAGGTGGCCTGCCGCTGTGCTCAGTCATGCAGCAGAGCTACAATACTGCCAGTCTGCTGCTGCTGTTCAGAAGTCTGCGACAAAGACGTTCTATATCAACTTGTGACTGGTGCTTGCAGCTATATTTACCTGTGTGTCTGTCTCTCTGTCTCACTCTCTCTCTTTGATATCTGTCAGGCTCCAGTGCTGCAGTATCTTTACTACCTGGCTCAAATTGGCATTGCCATGTCACCACTGAGTAACAACAGCCTGTTCCTCAGTTACCATCGCAACCCACTGCCGGAGTACCTGTCCAGAGGCCTCATGGTCTCTCTGTCCACTGATGATCCCCTTCAGTTCCACTTCACTAAGGTCAGTATGAAGCAGGTTTGTCTGAATGTGCACATGGTCTGTGTTGAAGTTGCAAAATTGCAAAAAGATCATCAGAATGATGTGGTTGAAATTACATTACGTCATGGTATATGTGTGTGTGTGTGTGTGTGTGTGTGTGTGTGTGTGTGTGTGTGTGTGTGTGTGTGTGTGTGTGTGTGTGTGTGTTTGTGTTTGTTTGTGCCCAGGAGCCTCTGATGGAGGAGTACAGCATTGCTACTCAGGTGTGGAAACTGAGTTCCTGTGACATGTGTGAGCTGGCAAGAAACAGTGTCCTCATGAGTGGGTTTTCACACAAGGTAACCGCCTTAGTAGCGCCTCTCATTTTGTGTATTTAATCATATATGTACTTTTTATTAACATGACACACTCCTCAAAATGTACTAACTTTGCTAAATACTCGTCCAGTAGTTTTCAGATGCTTGTTTTTGTTCTATATTTCACTTGTATCTGAGCTTCCCACTCACGTAGCTTCTCCTGATTCCAGGCCAAAAGTTACTGGTTGGGCCCCAGTTATTCCAAGGAGGGTCCTGAAAGCAACGACATCCGTCGCACCAACGTCCCTGATATCCGTGTGGCATACCGCAGCGAGACGCTCTCTGAGGAGCTTAATCTCATCACTCATGCCGTGCGCACAGAGGAGCTGGACACTATTGATGAGGAGGACTCTCTGTCCATGGGCCCTCTGCCAGGACAGCGCTGAAACCACAGTCATCCTGTCTCATCCTGTAAACCCACAACCCTGTGGTCCACCTAGCATGACACTGAACAGGCATGGTGCGAGAGTAATTCTGCTGTTCATTTTACATAAAGTATAAACACCATCAACCATCACTATAGAAGTATGCCGCACACTGACAGCTGCACTGTTATCAAAAAGCCAAGGATACAGTGCTGCCAGAGCACTTGAGCTTCGACATCCTTCAACTTCTTGTGTCCAAATCATTTTTATGTTGCAGGAAAATATGTTACATCCATATTATTGTTAAAATGTTTAATTTGAGGTTCTCCCCAGCTCTTTTTTTTAGTATCCCTGTAATGTTCAATCTGAGTCAGCATGATGATGGTTAGCAGATGCACCAGCAGGGAAACACTAGAAGCCAGTGTTTACGTCACCAGACCCACGAGGACAATACTCTCTTTATTTCTCCATCCAGTCCATGAGTCAGGCTGTCCATCCTGTCCTGCTGCAGCCAACAAATGATCCCTGCAACATTTCCTGTCATTCACTGAAATGTTTTCATCAGAGATATTATATTATCTCTGTCGTATTTACAGAAACACAGATAACCTGCACATTTAAACTTTCCTAACAGCAAACCTGTTCTGAATGTTGCTTATATTCCACTGTACAGTCATGCTGCTTAAATAACCTTAGTGTTTCTATCATCTTCATTATACAAACTTAGAATGACTACAGATGCAGCTTTATTGGAATAATGCTGCGTTTGTTTGTGAAGGTGGGACAAACCTACACAACAAACTTTGGCAGGCCGCTTAAAGCTTGAAGAGACTAAATCAGAGTCCTATAACAAGAGGCGATAGCTTCAGTCTGACTGCTGCAGTGCTGAACATCAGCCATGCATGGTGCTTGGTGTGGTTTCAGACCATTTGTTCGCCAAATTGCACACACACAATCGTTCTTCCGTGATTTCGATCAGCTCCTACATTAACAGAAAAGAGAGAAACTCCATAACAATCAAGTGAAGACAGAAGCAGACTTTCTGTGGTCGACAGCAAACATTCCATGAAGTAAACTACTTTTAGCTGCAAAAGAATTGAGTCCCAGTAAGAAAATCTTTTTTGTTTTGATATTTTCTGCAAGAGATATAAAGGGGAAATGTGTATTATAGATTGTAACTTGAGCACAAGTTAGTGTGAATGAATTCAGCATCGCCCAAGGAGAAAGCCCTCACCTTTACCTCACTGTGGCCATGAAGACATGGGCCCTCTGTCCCTCCGAGGGTCCTGCTCACACTCATTCCTTCCCCAGTGAATGAACTACAAAGCCGTGGAGTTTTTTTCCCTTTGCATGCAGTGCACTGTACATATGCACCAAGCCAAGATTCACAGTGCCTTTTCATTTTTAGCTTTTGGGCACTGCATGCCCATGTTTCTCCAAACTGTTTACATGTATAAAGGTTTGCTCTTTACCACGCAACAAGTATTGCATATATCTTTCCTCACTCATATACAGTAGGCCTCTTTGCTGTTGTAATAATCACGCAGATGGAACTGAAACCACCTAGCTGCATGCTTGGTGTAAAATAACTTTTACCTTGGCCTTCACTTGAGGAGGAAAGTTGATTTGTTTCTAGTTCTCTGCTCATAAGTGCTTTTTTTTTTTTTTTTTTTTGCATGTCTGCATGAATAGTGGACGACAGGAGAGAATGAGTCGTTTACCGCAAGCTGTTATGTAAAGCATCTTAATTAATTCAGGGCTGCCCACCAGCTTCCGAGTCAGAAATCTGTTTGCAGTGAATATTACAGCAAACACATTTGAACTCAGCATTGTTCACCATGTAGACATGAACAAACCATGCTGGGACATGGTTGAGACTGTCACATGGTTCTTGTAGCATTTGTTTTTAACTCGCCCCCAAATCTGATTTAAAGCTGGGATCACACATCTCAGATTTTTGTATCGTAAACTCTTCATGTTTTCAGACCACTCTACCTGCCACTGGACACTGTCCAACCTCCCATCAACTGTGAGCATTCTTCTTATTCCTAGACGCTACTGTCGAGTAATATATGACGCCAAGACTAGAAAATAATGAATCAGGAAATGTGGGCCTCTATCTGAATAACCACCTGTAATGTTTTATGATATATACACGTTTGCTTTAGAGATGATTAGGATGAAAGATGAGATACTGTAGCTTCTAAGTGTTCAAGGGATGCACTGGCGTTGTGCGCTGAACATGGTAGAATATGTGTGATTCTTGGATTTCATGTATAAAGTGTATTTTTTTAATGGCGATATAGAGATAAGAAATTTTATATTCGCAATATATTGATGTCAAGGTTTAACACTTAGTTTTGTTGCCGTTGATAGAGTTTTTTTCAATGCCGTTTTATTGTCGTTAGCCTTTTTAATTTGTTAAAGGAATTGGATACAACACTTAGTGTAAGTTCTGCTGATTTAATATTACAGTAACTGTTTCCCCTCATGTTTAATTTTTATTACTGGTAGTTGTTTTGGTAGACCTGTACCATTCATGATAGAAAGGTACACGATTGATACCTCTGACTTTAAAACCAAAAGTTGTCTCTACAGTAGCCAGCCAGACACTGACCCTTACACACCGACACACACACACACACACACACACAAACAAACTAAACCTTATTCTACATCAATGCAGTTGACTTTTTCATTTTTTTGTTGAATGCAAACAGTCATTTCAACCATGTCTGTGTGAGAACTTCAGTCCTTTTCACTTGGGCTGAACTACTGACGGACTGTGAGCTACACTGACTTGTCCTGATACATCAGTCCACGGGCTGAAGCACACAGTATATTAAGTATATTTCTCCATTCACTAGCTGCAATGTTTAACAACCACCTCGTTGACTACTTTATAACATTTTGTAAGGTAATTATGGAAATAGATTTTCGATGACAGTTTTCCCTGTTGTGATATTTTATCTCTAAAAGACAAATAGGATCTGACCCGAACCTTTTCCGTCCATTCAGCTTCACAACTGGTTGTTCACTGTATCTATGTCGACTTCATGGTTGTCTTTTACAGTCACCACAGAGCTACTCATCTGTGCACTCACAGCATAGTGCACCCTACCTCACAAATACTAATCTCTGATAATGATAATTGATAATTACATCTCTGTGTTTTCCTCAGCAACAGCATAGCTGACTCTAATCATTATTTTCGGTACTGACTAATCCACTGATTATTTTCTCGATAAATCGCTTGGTGTATAAAATTAGAAAATGGTGGAAAATGCCTGTTATAACTCCCAGTGCTGCGAGGTGATGTAATCAGATTGTTCTCTCCAACCAAGAGTCCAAACACCTGGTGTACCATGGTAGAAAACAAAGATACAACAACAAATCTTTACGTTTGAGAAGCTTGAACCTGTGAATTCTTGAAAAATTATGTAAAAAGATCAAGAAATCATCACAATTGTTGCTGATTATTTTTCTGTCAATTAGCTAATTGATTTATCTCAGTAAATAATGGCACAGGAGAAGCGATTCCCAAGAGAAAAGAAGAGTAGAAACCATTTAAAGATACTGTAGAGTTCTCTGAGCAGTTTGTTTGGATGCCAACACAAAAACACACCAGTTATTCAAATATAATATTCACAGATTAATAGTCTACTATCTATATGAATATGTTCTGTTGTTAAGACATTCAGCTTGATTTATTTGTGTTCTAATGTCACAGTGTATTAATTACAAATATTCTGATGCTCACACTCACAAGTTATGTTTGTGTTCAGCTGATATTTTTTCTAGTATCTTTGTTTTTACACAGTCTTGTCACTTTTTTTGACATGGGATTTTTTTATTTTTAATTTTTAATTTTGCCTATATTTTGTGTCCATTGATCTGTAGCCATATTATTGTCTGAAATGGATTGCCAGTGTTTTACAGATTCAAATGCTTCTGATAAAGTTCATGTGTAATGTCTGAACAATGAAATAAAGCATGTTTATTTACAGATTACATAATGACCACATACATTAGGCTCCTGGTTTTGTTATTTCCAGAATTCACATTGTTACACAACATTAGCATAGTACTACTGACTATGTTGTCTGCTGTACTTTCATTTACACTTGATTCTACACATTGATTTTATTGCATGTTGACATATCTGAATGATACCACACAACTTTACTAATGTATATTTCAAAGTGATATATAGGTTTTTGATATAGTATGTAGTATATTTCTTGTAAATGTGGCTAAAGGTTTCAGAGGATACTATATATTTTCTTATATCAAACACACTATAAACCTAATCTGATTTTTATTCTGTCATATTAGCTGAAGGCTTACAGTATCTAACCACTGGTGACCTGTTTTGGTCCATGATTCCTCCTCCTTCGATCCTCATCTCGATGGTCTCACTTAATTGGCAGCCTGCAGTGTTGAAACACCAAACAAACAGAGATATAAATCATAATATGAATAATAATAAATCTTAAGACTGACGGCACAGACAAATGACACTGCACTGTGTTCTGTAACTTACAGCCAAGGCAGACTTGACTGCTTGTAACTGGAAGAAGACTCGTCCTCCTTCTTCAGGACACACCGTCTTCAGTTCCTCTCTGGTCATCCCCAGGAGAGTAGAGCCGCTCAGCACGCCCAGGCAGCGTACAGTGCTGCAAGAGATAAATAAGTAATACTGATCTCTCAATACTGGGGTTCATTTTAAGGTGGAATAGTGTTACTTAACCAAACTGTAATGTGTTGGTTGAGTGCGGGTTTTTTTAAATTTTACCACTGAAGTTCATTTTGAAAACACATTAAAAAAAAAAAAAAAGCATTGAAAGGCATTGAAGAGGATCTCCGGCAGGTTTCTATTGCACCTCCATAAAGTTGGAAAGCTCACAGAGGTCCAGATATCCTGGCTCTCAGTCCTGAGTATGTGTCAAGCTCCAAAAACACTGGATCCTACATTTCCCATAATGCAACACAATAGCATGTTTCATTAGACTGTCCCTGGCCCGAAATGCCCACCTCTTTCAAACCTCACACCTCCAGTTTGTAACACTTTTAAAAGTTTAGTCTGAAGCCCGAGCCAAGTTTAGAACATTATAAAAAACATACAACAGTTTTTACTGGCTGTGTAACACTCCCTGCGATAAGTGAACTGCTCTCCGTGTGTCAGACCAGTGGAGTGCACCAATACAGTGCAAAAACACAAGAAACAACTGCTACACAACACTTAGACTTTGTGGTGTTGTTCAGGGGACTGACACCCTAAAGCAGGGCTTTTTATATATTACATTTCTTACAATCTTGTTTCAGTCTGAATGCCTCTGTTCATCCGAGGGAGTGAGGAGAAACAGAAACATACTGTTAGTGGAAATGACATCATCGTGCATTTTTATAAAGCAGCTGATCAGATTATTTTCAAAATTCAGTCATAGATGTATATGCATCTTTATAGGCTGATCGAAGTCATAACTATAACAGATAACAATTGCACTCTGCTATTCATCTTATTCATTAATATTAAATTTAATAACTGTGTACCTACATTTTACTAAAGTCTTTGTCTTCCAGCCAGGCTCTCACTTCTGCAGGCTTGGACTTCTTCGTTAGGACAGGAGACCCTTGATGTCGCTGAGAAAATGGTATGATAATGATAACAAGAGTTTTATTATTATTATTATTAATAAGCCTTAGTATACAATGTTACAGTGCTGTCTTTTGGTTTGCAAAATGATTTAGTTTAATTAAAGCTTCCAAACATACTGAGTGAGTCAAATTTTACATTACATAATCACTCTGGTCATATCAGCAGGCAGTTTTGCTTTTTTTTTTTTTTTTTTTGCTGCAGCTGTGACTCTAATTTTACTGTGACTTCCACTCTAATTTACTCAGGTAAATGTCAGCCAAAAGGTCAAATCACTGAAAAGTGACACATAATCACACAAAAGCATACTGTGTAAGAAGTAACTGCTCCTTTTACAGAAGTGCAGTTTTAATGGGGCAATTTGAGAAAGAGTCTATTCTAAGTCTACACATCCTTTTCATTCTTGCTTTGTGGTACGTACCTCCTCAGGTTGTTCGTCATGAGCCTCCAGGACATTATTGGGTACGAAGCCCTCCTCCCCCGTGCTGTTCCTCACTTTCCACCACTGCTTCGCTGTGTCTAGCAGCTGTAGATGGATAAAGCACAGACTAGTCACGGTATAGAGGAATTATGGGACTTTCTAACTGGATGCTACTCGTTATAAAAAAGAACAGAAAGAGTAGTTGGGTCATGTCACTAAAACTCACCTCGACTATTTCTCCTTTTCTGACGGTGAGCTCTCTGTGGTTTCTTGAAATGAAGTCATACATAACACACATGCGACGTGGTTCTGACTCACCTGAGCTGAAAAAACGCATCAAAAACTTAGAACCTTTAGGTTTATGTTCCCATTATGCTTAATTATACTTTGTATGCTTGTGCATACCGTGCTTTTTGTGGACGATGTGGTGGTGTCCACTTGGCTGAAGTCTACACAGAAACAGTAAATGGTATTGTTATGTTGTTTTTATACTAACTTCAGCTTGAATTAAGATCCTGTGGAGAGTCATGGTGCTCACAGACTACCTGTCCGTCTGTACTGGTGTCATACTGAATGTTTGAAGTGAATATTTACCTGGCCGTGTGAAGGTTGTGGAGTCTCCTGTCTGCTCACAGGTTCACTGAGTGCAGTTGCTGCAGTTACCTCAGGCGGCTGCCAGCCGTCAGAGAACTCCAGAGTGTATGTTGGGATGTCCTCGTCATCCTCCGGCCATTTGGTACTGGTAATATTGTCAAAATCACATCTGATTATCATCCTGGAGCTTTACTACATACGCACAGCAGTCTGACTTATAAAAAAAAATATGCAAATGTAAAAATCAAGCAGAGGTATAATCAGAGTTTGCACATAGTAAAAGCAATAACTTATTATGTGCCACCTGGGGATGTTCCAGGCGTCTCCGAGAGACTGCCACAGCCGGTCCTCCTCTGAGGACGCCTCTTCACTCATGAGACGGATACACTGAGGCGTCAGCAATGGAGCCACAATGCTGGGTGGCAGATGCTCAGGACAGTGAGTTATGACCTGGTGAGTAAAAATGATTATCAGTCTTCTAACAACAGTAAGTGCAGTGTTGACTCTGCTGTAGCTGTGTGCAATCCCAGTAAGAGGAAGGTGCAAGGCTGAATATTTAGTGTAATATGAGCAGCAAGGGAAAAGTAAGCACACTGGATTACAGCTCCAACAACACAGACATTATGGTCAACTAATTAAGCATGAGCCAAGATATCCTCATAAACAGCTGATTTTACAACAAATATATAATCTATTAATCGAATCTATTAATTATAAAGAAAAATAAAGTAAAATAAAAAATAGAATGAAATGGCACTAATTCAACAATCAAAAGGTAAATATATGTAGGAGTACAAAATATAGCTATAAGAATGAGCTAAATCACACATGAAAACCTGAACTCAAACAGAGCAATGCTTTCTTTCAACCTGACAGTAATATGAAGATTCATAATGATGGGTGTGATGGCGTGTGCCATTATGTGTGCTCCAAGTTACTTATTCAAATTTAAGAGAAGCGCTGACTTACGAATGCTAATGTGGAGAAGAGGGAGTGAACAAATTCAGCAGCACTGGGATTATTAATCCTGCCATTGAGCTCGCCCTGTCACAACACACAGCAGCAACACTGTTACACAAGATGTTCATCAGAGTGAACAGGGACAACACATGCCATGATGATGACAGTATGTGAATGTGATTAAAGACACGTACCAGAAGGTTGAAACCACATTTGATTTTATGGAGACATCCTGCAAATTCTTCTGTAGGGGGCATGCCGTCCAGGACTATAAAAAAATGTATACATGATGAAGCATTTACAACAAAAAAGAGAATGCACCCAACACATATATCTGCCTCAAATTACCTTTTCCTTTCTTCTTCTTCTTCTTTTTCTTTGCATTTTTAGCTGCTACTGCAGCTACTTGTCCCATGAAGATTTCAATGTCAGTTAGAATATGATTCAAGATATCCTGTGAAGGAAGGAAGGAAGGAAGAAAGAAAGAAAGAAAGAAAGAAAGAAAGAAAGAAAGAAAGAAAGAAAGAAAGAAAGAAAGAAAGAAAGAAAGAAAATCATTTCCATATTCTTCTTCTCTTAAATGGTATTAAACATGTTTTCTTTACAAAAAGATCAGATCAAAGAAATACAACTGTCACGTTTCCTGTCTCGTGGGTACATGAAGGACACTAACCACACTCCTGTTCAGCTCTGTGTACTGTTGTGGAGGAGGCAAGTATTTTTCTTCAGTGCTGGGGGGCTGTGGTGATGGCACCTCCTCTCTAGAAGGTGAACCCCCCTGCTCCTCCTCATCCTCCTCCTCTTCCTCCTGAGGTACGAGCAGTTCAGGCTCATCGTCGCTCACGTCATCCTCTTCTGTAAAAAATAATGATAATAATAAAAAAAAAGAATGGTATGATTTGTGCTGATTTTGACTCCTTCATTAATAATCAGAGCAGCAGTTGTACAGTAACGTGTCCTGTTACAGCTTCACCATAGTCAGGAGACGTCCACAGGGGCACTGGGTGAAGTGCAGGGCTCTGCTCTTTGGGTTCAGGGGTTGTCGCAGCATTACGATGGTTTTTCAGTCCTTCATGAGCAGCTATAAGTCCCGCTCTGCTGCTTCAAAAGGTGTGAGAATCAGAAATCAGTAAAGCTTCCGGCATTCAGTTTGTGCTCGGTGACGTTACTGCAGCTTCTTACCTGAAGCTTGGATCCTCTCGCCTGCGTGACAGTGCTCGTGACAGATCCCTTTGAACGTAGTCAGCCTAGAAATAACAACAACAACAACAAAAAGAAAACCATTCACTCACTCATTTCTTTCCCTTATCAGTCATATTAACAGCCATTTCCATGGGTTTGTCCTCACCCTGACTTCCTCGCACTGGAACATGAAGACAGTGGTGGTCTTTTTTCTCCCGGGTTGTACTGACATAGTGAGCAGGGAGTTAAACACTCCGGTGTCCAGCACAGCCTTTAGCTCCAGGATGTCGCTGAGGGCCATGGACTCCAGCTCCTCCTGAAAAAAAGACACACCAGTATGATTTTTATTCAAACTTAAATATGGATTTTAATATTCTTTGTTATTCTTTTTTTTTTTTTGACAAACACGGAGTATGAGTGTCTGTCTAGCAAATTTTTCATACTCATTAAACCATTCAGTAACCTTCATTCCCTGTCAATGGAGGCAATCTATGAGAGACCACTCCCGTAGAGGTCTCATGCTGTTTACCTTGGTTTCGGTGTCTGTCAGCAGCAGGTTGACACCCCGCACCTCCAGCTGCATGTTCTGACCCCACACACGACCCATCCCGTCCAGCAGCTTCAGACGCTCCACACAGTCACCTACGTTTTTCAAATCCTTCCCATCCAGGTCACAAGTGAACAAGTGCTGTAACACAGTTGCATTTTAAAAAAAAAAACAATATTATACATGGCATGATTCAGAATGGGTCACATTTGTATGGATAAAGATGAGGGTACTTGTGATTACCTCCACTCTGTACTGAAATTTGTTCATCATCTTGTTTATAGACACTGCGTACTCCTGCCTTTGCACTGTCAACACATGAAGTGGAGCTCGGTATTATTCATGACATTAAACCCAGCAGGTGTAATCACATGTTAAGTACAGCAGTGCTGACTTACAGTAAACTGACTTTGCACTCAGCCTCGACAGACCTGAGACCTGTGATGACACCTCATCCATGGTGGAATAACCACTGTTGCAAAAGAAATTACAGTAATGATCATCTGCCGATGAATAAATATGTGAATGAAACAAACAATCAATCAATCCATGGATCAATCACATAAAACTGTGAGGTACATACTTTGACTGAATTGATCCTGCATAGCTGCTGGTTTCGTTGCCAAAGGGACTGTTACGCCCGAACATCCTCAGTGCTGAGCTGACACAGCTGCAGTATCACATATGACACGATAATATGTAATATCAGTGGGATAAGCTGAGTCAGCAACTTGCATCTGAAATAAATCTATGAATAATTAGTTTTATTATTTTGTATTGAAGGCTGCAAAGCTGACGTCACAAAACCTCAACCACAAAACCCTTTCTCAAAGTTATGGAGAAACACAACTTTTTACACGTTAGAAGTTCGAGTCTTTTTATTCTTCGTTATGTGATTTTTTTGTTGTTATTTCACACTTGCTTTGGCAATGGCTATTTCCACTTTGAATTGAAATGAATTGAATTGAATTGAATTAATTTGAACTGATTTAATTAATTAAGTGAGTGAACTAGATATTTTCACCTAGCAACACAGCTGATCATCGGAACAAGATCTTTATGGCAATGTTATAATATTTCAATGTAAAGTAAAGAATACAGAGCTATTTTAAAGAGAGGTTTGCTGACACCATTATATTAGAAAAGTGTGTGAAAATAGGCAAATGATGTGTGAGAATACAATACAATACAATAAGATGACGGAGTTCAAACACAAACACAGTATATAACTGGTAAAATTTTTTTGAATCCAACAGGTGTTTTGTCTTAGCATTAAAACTAAAAGATATTTTAGTATGAGGAATATGGGAAAAAAATGATGTTAATGTGGGTGTTGTTAAAATTGTCTTAAATGGCACCTTGACTCTGAGCTAGCCTTCAGTACAGATTACTTACACAAATAACAACATACAGTCTTCACTTTACTGTGGAGGTTGTCAGATGTTCTTACCTATGATGTCTGGCAGTTGAATGTTGCTGTTGCGTCCTGCTGTATTATTTATGCTTCAGTACAAATACAACTGACATTTTAATCCTGCACCTCGGTCAGCGACATTATACACCCAAGACTTCCTCATAAAGGAGAAGGACAAAGTCCACTGTCAGTAGCATAACGATCTGTGCAATACTGACCCGACTCAGTTGAGGGTGTGAGATCTTTGGTGCGGCATCCCATCTGAGCAAAGGTTACAAGATATGGAGGAAATCGCTTTACCCTGTAAAACCTTAAAGGTTTCCAGGGCTATAAAGGAGAGCTTATGTATCCTATCAGCATTTTATCACTTTTCCATTCATGACTATTAAACCACAATGTCCCAACTCTTTTTTTTTTTTTTTTTAAATTTTCCTCATGTACATAGTTAAGGCTTAAAAATATCCAAGTTCTACCACAGATTGCCAACAACATAATGAATTTTGTTTGTACTTGTTGTACTTTTATAATATGATTTTTTAAATATCTGCTAAAGTCAGGTTCATCTCTATTCCACACCCAGTTTTATCTGCTTTCAATTCCACATACACTCACTCAGCACTTTATTGGGAAAACTATAATAATACTGGGTGGGGCTTCCCAAAATAGCCTCATTTTTTCGTGGCATTGATTCAACAAGATGTTGGAAACATTTCTTTCACGACTTTAGCTTTGTGACGTGGTGCATTATCATTCTGGGAGTAACCATTAGAAGATGTTAGATTGTGGCCATAAAGGGAAGCACTTGGTGAGCAACAAAACTAAAACTGCTAAAGGCTGTGGCATTTAAACAATGATTGATTGGCATTAAAGAGCCAAAAGTGTGCCAGGTAAACATTCCCCACACTATTACACCGCCACCACCACGAGCCTGGACTGTTGACGCAAGGCAGCTTGGCTCCACGGATTCATATTGTTGAGGCCAAATGTTGCCCCAACCATCTGTGTGCCTCAGCAGAGATCCAGATTCATCAGACCACCTCTCTGAGTAAACTCTACAGACTGTCATGTGTGAAAATCCCAGGAGTTTCAGAAATAGTTCAATCGGCCTGTCTGCCACCAACAGTCGTAGCACAGTCACATTTTCAATCCATTCTGATGTTTGAACCTTAAATGAACCTCCTGACCTCTATCTGCATGAGTTTTTCCACTATCTTTATCTTTTAAATCTAAACTGAAAACATTCCTTTCTAGCCACGATTTCCAGTAGTCTGGTTTGCTGGTCTTAATTTAAGATTTTATTCTACTTTTATATGTCTTATTTTTATTGGGCTTTTTATTATTTTATAAATCACATTTTATTTCTACTTTTTTTGGGGCTTTTTGTGCCTTTAATGGACAGGACAGTAGAGAGACAGGAGATGGGGAGGCAGAGAGAGGGGGAATGACACACAGGAAGGGGCCGTCAAAGGCGAGAGTCGAACCGGGGGCCAGCTGCAGCGAGGACTGTAGCCTCTATATATGGGGCGCCTGCGTTACCCACTGCGCTACACAACGCCCCTATTTCTGCTTTTTAATAGTGTTATTTTACACAGCTTTTTTACTGATCGGTTGTTGGTCTTAATTATTTTTATTTATTTTATTTATTTTAATTCATACGTGTCATTTATGTGTTTTTAATTTGTGTCTAATGTTTTATCTGTAAACTATCCACATAGTTTTTGTGGTTGCAACTTCCTTGATAATTCATGCTTTGTGCAGCACATTGTGCTTCCACCTGGAATGAAATACATACATAAAGTTTTTCTTGCTTGCTTACCACACTGCCGTCACATGAATGGCTGATTGGATAACTGCATGAATACAAATAGTGTACAGGTGTTCCTGGTAAAATACTTGGTGAATGTATACTGCATAAACATGGGGTCTATACTGATGAAGCTAGAGAATATGAATAGAAATATGAAATCTCATCAGTGCTGCCAAGTTGTAGCTTCAGTATTTCCTCTATTGATCTTCGAATTCCTCAGAGACTGACACAGATACTCAGAGTATCGTTAAATAAGGGTCAGTCCACTTGGCTGCCGTGGCTCCACAATAAAACCAGCAGCCACTTAAGTTTTATGTCAAATCACATGGCCAAACATTAACCAAAGTGAATTCCTTAGTGATGTAATGAACACACAGATAACAACATGACCATATTCAGCTCATAAGGAAATTGAGAACTAACAGGGCTCACCTTATCATCATTGGATTTAAATACACTGTGGTGATGAGAGCTTTTTTTAGATTCACATCATCCATTAAAAGAAAACAACAGAAGCAATGGCCCAATAGCAACCCACACAAATTACAGCAATCCTGCCTGCCAAGTAATGGAAAGCACTAAATACATCAGTGACTGCAGCTACCGCAATTACAGTTTGTAGGTAGTTGTAATTTAATTAGTGAATATTTTAATGTTATGTTACCTCACACACCTATTCCACTACATTTTAGGGAGGGAGGGGAATACTGTACTTTTAAGTTGCTAAATATATTTGATTTGATAAGATTTTAATCTATAAGAACACACAATATGAAGGGTTGAAAGTATCTCCAGTGTTACCAGCCAAAAGATTCAAATTCAGTTTACAAAGCTGCTAACACAACTGAGCACTTCTACTTTTGATACTTTAAGAAAATTTTGTAAGTAATTATTTCCTCTTACTGAATGAACACTTTGAATGCTGGACTTTGTGGTGTTGTGCTGCGTTTACCTTAGGATTTACTGTAGCTAACATATCTGCCAGTGTTAAGTATAAAGAGTATTTACGATACTCAAAGAACTGATCAATCGGTATGAAATCATAACTTCAGTAAATATATGATTTCAATTTTCATTTTCATGTCTGTTTGATAAACTCTGGAGTCAGGGAGCTGCTGCAGGCACGTAGTGTTTAGCATTTATTGTCAGAAGGCTGGAAAATCACATGAATGCAACTAACAAACAACGCTGACTTTGGAGCTTCAGGGCCTGGATCTCTCCTGGACTGCACATCGCACTGATCATAGGCCTGGTGCTGTTCAACAAAACCACTAGAGGTCAGCCATGTCGCATTGGCACATTCAGAAAAAGCAGAGCTGCAGTCAATTCGATAATCTGTCACCTTGCAGCACCCGCAGAGCTGGAGCACAGCTGCTGAGAAGGTATGAGATCACAAAAGTTAACCGGGAAAATAATATCGCACTGTTCGAAGCAACAGCTCACAGTGTTTGTAATGAATAAATTAATTCATAAACTCAAAAAGGTTGCTTTGGTGTTTTTATTGATAAAATAAACAAACAATCACAGGATGAATGCACTTACATTCAACTAGCCATAAAACATAATTCAGCACCCCAAAGTGCAGTGGCATTCATACTTAAACAGACCCATGTAGCTGAATGTTGTTTGGCTGCCTGGATACAGTAAATGGCTTAAAATCAAAGATATGAATACAAAAATATCCTACACTATAAATGTAAAAATAAAATGACTGAAGACGAAACTGCGTGGAAGACTTTCTGTCAGTCATTTTGAAAGACCTAATTCCATGTGCACACAGGATAATGGTCTCAAACAGCTGGGAACCACTGGACTGATTAATTCACATTTTCCTATATTTTTCTAAAATATACAAATCCCCTCGATATACGTGTTGCTTTAAAATATGTAAAGGTCAAAAGATAAAAGGAATTCTGGTGAAGTTTGGTAGGCACTGACTCATTTTAGATAAATAACGCAGAGGGCAATTTCTGTAACTCATTAACTATGTTAAATATTCCCTTGCAGCAAGCAGGACTTTGGCCCATGCAGGCACCACATGTCTCTATGGTTCCTGCACACATAATGCAGAATAAAGCACGCTTCTATTTGCAGAAAAACATCGTCACAGTCATACATAAGAAAAGCTGAAAAGCAAATGAATCCTACACTATACGGTGCACACGTCTAAGTAAGGTTACACATAAGTACTTCTTTGCTACCAATAGCTAACTCTCAGTAGAAGTGTCAAACGAACAGAGACACATGTTAACAGTGTGGGCTGCTTCACTGTGCCTGCAGGGCCTGGACGATGTTCAGGCCTGACCCCGGGGGCAACGCCCAGCCGTCCTGGCCCTGGTGGGTCTGTAGCAGGCAGTACAGCTGCTTGAGGTGGGTCACTATGTTGTCTTTGATATCTGGGATTGAAATCTGCAGGCGAACGCTGCCGCTGTCAAAGGATCGCGTGTTGTCTCCAGAAAACATCTCGCTTATCATACGGGCCACCACGGGAATGACCTGCAGGGCAGAGGAGGGACGGGAGAAGGAACAATGAGCCACAGCAACATTCAGATTCGCTACAGTCAAGAGAAATGCTGGAAAAAAAAAGGATTCATGAATTATAGCTGGAGGAAAATGTTTAAGAACTGACTTTCTGCTTGTTTCTTTAATTTTCATTTGTCATGTAGTAAAATATTTCTATGTAGTTTAGAGATGAAAGTTATTAGTTAATCAACTATTTTGATAACTGCTTATTTGCTTAAGCACTTTTTTTTTTAATTAAAAACAATTATTCTCCGGTTACAGCTTCTTCAGTTTGAATAACTGTAACTGTAAACTGAATCTCTATTTTCTTTATCCAGCCAGCAATAAAAGTTTGATGACACACAGGTATCGGTTAAAGCGTCTAACCCCAGATCTGCTGGCTTGTATTGGCCCTTGACAACCACAAATAATCTTGTTACAAAATATGTCAATATTTCTCACCTGAACCATGATAAGCTTCCTCTCTCTGGGCCTACCATCAGGCCACTCCTCTCCAAAACACAGGCTGATTTCAAAGTGAGGGGGGGTGGGTGTCTGGCCACGCTGGTGGGCGATCACACCTGCACAACATGCAAAGAGATATATATTATTCATTCCCACAGTAGATTGCATTTTCCAAAAAGGTAGAGGACTTTGATTTAATTACAATCTAAGTAGAACACAAGTTTGTTTAACTATGTATATCTAATTACAGAACGATACAGTGAATGTTCTACTTACCGCTGAGAAAAGACTCCAGGCAAAAGAGTTTGACCCTCCTCTGTCGCTCTATAAGATTCGGTGCAGCTGGATTTGGAGCACAGGGACCGGACCAGTACACCTTACACTGGCAGAGGCGGACTGCATAGATATCGTGACCACTAACCTCCAGGATTAGACCCCTGTCCATCACATCCAGCAGGCGGTTAGTGAAGACCCTCTGCTTGTCATTGGTGATGTGCTCTGTGGTCGGGAAGCGTAACTGTTCCAGGTTCACCGGCCCAAACAGCTCTTCCTGGTTGACCATGGGGCCGAGGTCTCCGTAGAACAGCCTGCAGCCCTGCGGGTTACTGACGGTCGCTGTGGGGCACATTTCCTTCCCTCTGTACTGAAACTGAACCTCCAGGTCTGTCACTGAGACACAGACAAGTGCAGACATACATTAGTATGTTGAGTTGAATTCATTCTTCAGTTTAAAAAGGGTCATTTCAGCCAAAAACACAAACTTAAAAAAATTATCCCACTGTACCTGGAATGCCTTGAGATATTGAAGTTTAATTAAAAAAAACAAAACATCTGATGATATTCTATAATTTTCTTATTGTAAACAAATTAATGAATCAAAAATAAATAACATAATGGTTTTGCAGCTCACTCCTCTGTGCCACAGACTATTCGAACTATTTAAAATAAGCATGAGTAAGTCATCTTGTAGCTGTGAATACTCACTACAACACCAAACCCACAGCTGAAAACAGTCCCCAACAAATGCTCTATTTACTGCTGTCAGAGTAGCAGTTGCTAAAAAGCTAGAAAGCTTCAGGAAACAATGAATTTGAATGAATCTGTAATGCATTTTCAAAGTTTTACATCTTCAGCGGGCGCAGCGCCACAGACTAACCCGTTGTTGGTTGTGGTTTTTTTTCCACTGGATTTGCTAACAACAATAAATGATTATAATATCACCAGCTCTATCTCTTAAGAAAAACCTTTTAGCACAGCAGCAGCGTACCTGCTTTCTATCTCTGTGCAGAGTTAAAAGTGTTGAAAATAACGGTCTTTCAATTTAGAGAAAGGTGACCATTTTCAGCTTTTCATGTTGTATTTTGGTCATTTGAGTAAAGGAAACAGAGCACGGAGCACTGCGCTTCAGCAGGTAACCCCACACCTCAGCCTGTTGCACTAGATCTGTCTGAATCTACTGACTGCACTCTGGGAAACAAGAAACAGTAAATTGGTGCTTTTGTGTGAACTGTCTCGTGATCACTGGATTTCTGCTTCTTTTTTTTAACCGCACTAGAAGAAGCTCGTACTTACTCGGGAGGGAACTAATCCACGTCTCTGGAGAGGCAAACAAGGCGTCGGGTAGAGGAGGGGGCTGCATGATGGGATCAGGCAGAGGAGCAGGCGGCATGTCGGCCAGGGGTGTGGGATGCATCTCCACATCCACAGGCTCCTCTTTGGGCCAGGTTTTGACAGGTTCCTCTTTGGGCCAGGCCTCATTTGAAGGCGGACAACTTGGAGGCTGCATGGATGAGTCTGAGCCCATAGGAGACCACAGGATCAGAGGAGAGGGGCTGGTGCCTACAAGAGAGAAGAATTCAATGGTTGGTAAATGCAATTGAACTGTATCTCTGTGCTTTGCTGTTTTTTTTTTTTTTAAATTTAATGCCAGGAAATTAAAAATATAAATAAGAGGAGATGCCATTCACCATTGGATGGGTATGGAGGAAGAGACTCTGGTGTATTTGGAACATCTTCCTCAATACCGTCTTCTTCATGCGGAGTCCAAGAACCAGCGTCTGAAGAGCCTGTTGGGTGAGAAACAATATTAAAAGATGGTAAATCCTGTGAAATGAAAATAAAATGAAGGAAAATGTGTAAAGATTCACTGAGGATGAAGAAAGTCAGTCATATACTGTATTTTTTACCTTGGTTACTGAGTGGCTGTGGGATGTCGCAGACGTCATATATCTTCAGAGGATTCATGGGGACCTCTTTGGTGCCATCGTAGATGAGGTTGAATTCTCGGCTTTTGTTCAGGGCGCATCGAAGCTGTGCTTTCCACTTCGCAGGATCAGGTTCATCGACTCCCTCCTGGAACTTCCCCGTCTCCACAGCCCACGCCTGGAGGAACATTCACACAGAGTGGAGGTATCAATATCCATATCCTCTTTTCACATCTTTATATGTCTACACAGGATCCACGTGTGTGTGTGTGTGTGTGTGTGTGTGTGTGTGTGTGTGTGTGTGTGTGTGTGTGTTTGTATTGTCTTTAGTTAAAGTATGTTGATGCATTGTGTGGGGTATCTGTCCAAAAAAATGCACAATGGTATAGATGTAGAAAGTTTAAGGGTCACTTCTAAAGACTTCCATTCCCATAAAGCAAATGCAAAATGTTCTTTGTTCTAGTTTTTGTAAATGTTGCACAAATTTTTACTAGTTTTTTTCACATAGTTTGGCAGGAAAACAAACTGGAGGCATCGACACAATGAATGCACAATCTCTCAATACAAAATGTCCCATCATCACTGTCTTTAATGTCTTTAATAGAAGCAACTAAAATTAAGAACCAACTAGCACCTACCCACCTCGACCCCGTGGCTCGCACCAATCTTTCCTAATGCTGGAAGCACAACCTTATGTAAGTGGGTTGCAAACCAGATGTTGCTCCAGAGACATGCTTTTTAAAAGCATATTTATCACGCACAAACCAGCATAAGACTTGCTTAAAGGTGGGATGAAAAAATATGGACTAGAAGAATGTGAGAGTCACACCACCTGTCTGTGCCAGAGGTGCGTGTTTACAGTGTCTACCAGCTGATTTAGAGTAAACAAACACTTTCCATACACCCGTCTATATGTTTTTGTTATCAGGACATCTGTTGATGATACTTCGTGTCTTAACCTTAAATATGGTGTCCTCATCCTCGTGCTGGGGTGTGTGTCGTGTCGCGTGTTTCCATGGAATCCTGAAGCGCATGGCCTCACGGTCAATCCACACCAGACCCGGGTATCGCCCGCTGTCCACCTGAGCGACCAGCCAGGGCTTCAGGCGGACACGTCGAGGGGTGACTGACATCCTGACTGCAAAGAGAGCACAAACCAGTCGGTCCACAGTGAGCTCAGATCTGAGTTTTCCCCCCCAGCAGCTGCCAGGATTACACAGGAACACACTCAGTGACGAACAGGGCTGCAGCAGCGTTCACCTAAATCCTGCAAGTCCGGATTTTCCGAACATTTTCAAGCTGCATGGCTTCACCCTGTCAGCCGAGGTGGCCTTCAACTGATCTATTTACCCCATTTCTGCAGTTACTTGCAGATTGGACCTCACGTAATCGGTCACTTTATATTTAAACGTGAGAATAACAGTTGGATCAGTTCAAAACTCAAATACACAAAGCATCCAGACACGAAACTTAACAACGACACACATACCTGTGGCGAACCAGGAAGTTGGAGGAGTATTTTCTTCTCGGCCTGCTAACCAGCAGCTGGGGATAAAACTGTTTCCTCTGCAAATCCAAAGCTCCCTGCAGACTCCCTCTAAACAACGATCACCGATAATCACCTCGACGAAGCTGGTCGATAACAACCGGAGAAAAGTTTGATCTCGAACGACCCGGGCGGAGCTGATGTTTTCCACTCGGCTCAGTCTTTCCCCCTTCCTTACCGAAACTCAGGTATGGCTGTGACGTCACGCCGGTGACACACCTTTTCTGAGCAGCTGGGGGGCAACTCATCATGAAGCACGTGGACATGACACTTTTCCACAGTCTGGCGTATACATGGGCTGCAGGACAGACCAAGTGTACTTAAATAATTATAAATATATAATAATTATACATGAATAGTCACAGCTATAAAAAAAAATTGATAATCATAAAACAATATTTCATTTCACTTTGATTTAACACATTTATTTTCACTCTGTTCACAGCTGCATTTGTACAAAGTTAAAATTGAGAGCATTTACAATATTTACATTTTTTTAACAATATTGTCAAATACAGATATATATAAGAAAAACTAAAGATCTGTTCTCTTTTCTTTTTTTCAAGTAATTTGATTACACATACATTTCATTTCCCCAGTCCATTAACAAGAAGGCTTTTAATTTGCCTTTTTGTTATCCTTCTCCGTTCATTTTTATAAAATTGACATTATTCACACGAACATATTTCATCAATTTTATGTTATTTAGTGTGAGGATGAAAATCTTTATGGTTTAATATAAGTGGCCAACGTCTAGACCCAATAATCCTGAATTGGCCTGCAACCAGCAGACTATATGTATATGTGTGAAAGGACTGGACCGAGCTGACAGGCAGAGCGGGAGTTTCCATAGAAGTGGACGGTTTGTGATTATCCCGTCACCAACAGGAGTCAGAGCAGACCGACAATAACAAGCCACTCCCTGAAACCACTCCTGGCTTTAGAGCGTGTGCCCGCCATCCAGGTGCGCATTATTCCCTCTGCGCCTCCTGGTTTCACTACAATATGCATAATGAGCCTGTTGTCGTGTGTGTCTTTGATGCTAATTGTTTTTGCCTACCGGGATTTGGAAAGTGTTTGGAAGATGTGTGTTTATTGTTTGGGTGTGTTGTGTTGCTTTGTGTCCGGACAATTTGGTGCCGGCTGCCTGTAGCACCAGAAAGGGTGCGTGTGTCTCAGATCTGTCATGTATGCACTGGTTCCCACCTCAGGGATCCCTTGATAAATCTGGGGATTCTCCAGATGATTGAAGCGAAATTAAAGTAAAGCATGTTTCTTTTTAAATGCAGTTAATTTTTCTGATTTGTCTCAATTTTTTTGTTTTGTTGCAATTTTCTTGTGAGACTCTGCAGACATTTTCCTCTGTGGGCCACTGAAAACACAGTAAAAGTTCAGTTTAACTGTCCACAGTAAGCCATAACCTGCAGGTGAGGGGATTACAAGTACAAGTTACTCCATTTCAAGGAATCATAAGCCAAAAAAGTTATGAACCACTCATGCACAATGCACCATATGAGCAACAAAGTCACCAAAAGCTATAAGAAACTTTATGAACACTTCAGTCTTCCTTGAAAATGTTGCCAGTCTTTCTGTGTCTGTCAGACCAGGTTAGTTATGTGCCATGGATGTCATTTTACACACACACACACACACACACACACACACACACACACACACACACACACACACACACACACACACACACACACACACACACACACTGTCACCCTCAACACCACAGGCCATTCGTAGCACATGCTTCGTGTTAAATCTTAAGGGCAACTACAAAGTACAACTGGAAATGGAAGAATAACTATTGTCATAATGATTTGTGGATCATTCTGAACCCACATCTTCACTCATTCAGCTGTGTGTGAACAGTCACATAAAAATGTGTATTTCCGTTATTGGTGTAGTCTCCAAAGCTGGAAACACTAAGTGTTGGCCCTTATCTCTCCTTGAATCTTTTGGACAATGTGTGTGAGGTCCAAACTCTCTGTTAGCGTCTTCAGGAGCATTTCGTCATTCTGGACCCCCTCCATGAACTCCTCATAGGACAGTTCACCTGGAAAATGGAGAAATACAGTGTACACCCTAAACTCAAATCCTTCAGTCCTTCTGCATATTTGGTGAATGATTCCATAAGGTTAACCTATATTTGATAAGGTTAACTTATGGCCATAAATCTGCCATTCTGCAACAACTGGGACTTTCTATCAGTGAGACAATTTGTTTCAAACATGTTCAGTTTTGAAAATCACATATAAAGATCATTCTTCTGCTGTATATTATATCACTATGACAAACTGTGTCACTATCAGTTGCAGTGATGGGGATATTTTGATATAGTTCAGGGGTCTTACCATCTCCATTGATGTCAATCTTGTCGAACACCATGTTGGCAAAGTCGTCTGCTGACATCTCATGAGAAACTCCATTGATCGCGCGGATAGACTAAACATGACAGAGAGAGAGAGAGAGAGAGAGAATAGATGCTGTTAAAAACTGACCCTGGTGCTTAACTGTTACATTTTTCAACCAGCAGATGTCAGCTAAATGTCAGCTATTTGTGTCTTCACCTCCCAGCACTGCGGTGTCCGGCCTCAGCGGGTTGTTTCAGGACAGTACTCGGGATATTCTTAGGTCCGTCACTAAGCCATTCATCAAGCTTGAACATGACATGAGGGCTCATGCGTACCTTAATTATCAGAAGCAGCTCTTCACGGTCGATGCAGCCACTTCCATCAATATCATACAGTTTGAAGTACCAGCGGAGCTTCTGCTGCACTCCTCCTTTTAGCACCAGGCTCAGAGCGGCCACATACTCCATGAAATCAATGAAGCCATCCTATAAAAGAAAATGACTCAGTGAACATTGTCATCAGCAGAGCAGCACACATTCAAGTTATACTTCCACCCACACTATAATGTCTGTTTTTATTATTTTATCATTTCTCTGAATGTGATCTATAACTCCAAAATGGTCTAATAACAGCCACAGCTGCTGATATAAATACATTGATGTTTGAAACTCCCTGTGATAAGGGAGAGAAATTCATTCCCAATAACTGAGCATCCACCTGCTCCTGGTTCACTGGAGGTTGCACCTGCTCTTTTTAAGGTTGTAGGTCAGTTGAGTAAGTGGTGTGGGTGGGATAAACCTCCTCCTGTAATAGGCTAAGTTCCTCTATATTAGCAGAGACAACGTGAACAACATTCCTCTGATGAAAACACAAACACTGATGCAAAAATACACTGAGCTGAACATGAACCAGTTTCTTTGCTCACACATTTCTGCTCATATGAATTTGCCTTAACCAACTGATAGACATGAAATAGATATGAGTGGTGGAAAACCCACCATACATACGAGCAAATAAACATACATGTTCATTTAAATCTCAGTGGGATTTCTGATGAGAATGAGCATAATGATGATAATTATGAGTCGTATTTTTGGTGATAGTAGTTGTAGCATTTTCGGTATTATTGGTATACTGTGAGTGTGACTGGGATTATTCATGTGAGCAGCATTTTCACAGGTTTTCTACCTGCAAATAAATCAGCTTCCTTTGAACTAGACCATTTGTCTTTTTGTGCAAAGGATTTAGTTGTAAAACATTTCACTGTCAGTGCTAGTCAGCATCAATGAAAAGCAACTAATGATGAGCACACTTCAGATTCATCTGCACTGATATAATAACATTACAATAAATTTGTTGCCCCGTTAAAACGTTAAAATGGATCTTACGTTGTTCATATCAAACGTTGTAAACATAGTCTCAATGTAGGCATTTGATGTCTCTGACAGATTCCTCAGGCCAAAGAACTTCTTGAACTCGTAGAAGGTGAGGAGTCCAGATGGGCACTCGGTCATGAATTTTCTGTACCACTGATGACTCTCACAAGCTTGTAGTTCCTCCACAGTCGAGTTGTTGCAGTTTCCCATGTCTGTTTTTCAAAATATAGATGTATGAAATCCCGTAAAAAACATATCAACAAAGTGCTGCATCCACCAAGCATGGCATGTGTACAGACTAAAAAAGTGTTTGCAAGCAACAGGATTCAGTGGGTGTGTGTGTCAGCCAATCATCTCTCTGTCCGTCTGTGTGAAAGGCTCAGAAGCTGTAATCCACTCTGCTTGCCAGCAAAGACTTAACTAATTAAAGAGACCTAAGTGCTGGAATAAGTTTTTGTGTACAAAATGACACCAGCTGTGACCATAAACTAATATTTAAGATTTCTGCCTGACTTTTATGAATCAAATATGAATGAATGCTGATCATTTATCCGCGCTTAATGAACTGTGCAACACAAATGGTTTTGTGTAATCATTTGATGTGTTTACCTCATAATATGATCAAGAATTTCCTCCATATTTAGCTTGATGTTTATCTGCCGACTTTATCAGTGTGGTGTGATAAATTACGATTAATAATTATCCAATGTCTTTCAAGGAACTCTTTAGATAAGTTTGTGAAAGACTTGTTTCTCCTTATTTTGGTTGGGAATGGGCTGAAATAATCTTGATCGTATGCAGCTCACTAAGCAAGTTGAGTTTTTCCAACTGTGAATGTATTTCAGCATATCTCCCCCCAGGCTTTGTTTTGTTTTGTCAATTTTTTATATACAGTCTGATTTATCTTCTGGAGACCACAAATGCCTGCACCAAATATCACAGTAATCCATTCAATTGCTGAAATATTTCAGTCTGGACTGACCGGCGTGGCGGAAAACCTTCTATGAAACAAATTTATCAACCATATATCATAAACTGTGACTGGGTGTTTACTGATGTTCACCTGTATTGTCAGACGTTATTAGTAAGACCTTTTCAAAACATGTTTGAAGGTGCTGTACATAAGATTTTAAAAAAGGGGTTATTTTTCATTGTGGTCTTTAATGTCAAAGTCCTGTCACCACCTCACAGGTGAAAAAACGTGGACCATAGCTGGAGTTTACTGCAGTTCAGAGGTCTTCAGAGTCTGGAAGTCAAACAAAACTGTGAAGCTGTAGCTGCTCTCTTCCTGCACACACTGACATGAACTCGACCTCAACAGCCAGGGAGGTCACTGACATCTAGGGGGAAAAAAAGGTGAACACAGAGGTACATGAAGCAGATAGCTAACCATAAAATGCAGCAGTAACTTTTATTTTAATATTCAGGAGGTATTTGAGCAGTTCACACATACAGTGTATTTGAACTGTAAGTTAGAAAATGAACTGACTAACAAAGATCCATTTTTAAAAAACAGAATCACAGCTCCGTGAGACAGTTTCAAAATATCAGGCTATATTCATAAATCTTCTTTCCTTAAGTGTTCTCTCAGCTTACCCTACTTTTACTGGATGACTGGCAGCCACTGGGTTATTTAGACCCTCTTAAAGCTCCTCCATCTGCTGTCAGACACACTGCAGTAGGCTGCTGGTTTACAATAAAAGCATGAAGACAGTGAAAGACCGTCATGCAAGTGCAGAAAAGACGTCACTGTGGACAGTTTTCATTTTTTCAGCAACTACTTTGATGAAAATGGAAACTGTCTTCAGATGCAGGTCTAACCGCTGCTGTCTAAGTAACTGTACTTGTTCTTCCACACAATAGATTTGATTTAGTGATAATCCGTAGTTTCATTTCCATTTACAACCAGTGCACACCTCATCATAATGGAATGGAAAAAATGCTTATGGTTTTTCGGTCTCCGTTTCCTCCTGTAGATGTCAGTTATGTCCGTTGTATTTGTGCTCATTTACATTTTTTTTGTAATGCACAGGCCAGGGTCCATATGATTTGTGGCTGAAACTACATGGGAGCAGAGCAGAGGAGAGCAGAAGTTGATCAGAAAGGTCTTACCATCTCATCATACTCCTGCCTCTACTGGCTCAATCTGCCATCGCGATACAGCCGTGTTTCAATAAAATGTGATAAAACCTTTATCAACCATGCAAAGTGGATTTATTCGTTTATATGCAATTAAGAGAGATAAGAGAAACATTTTATTCATCTCTCAAAAAACTGCCATCAGTGTGCTTCTCCTCACCAGATGAGCAGATCTAGATACTGAATAAAAGTTGAATAATAAAATGAATGAATGAGACTAAACCCTTTCTGCATGTTCAGTATTTCAGTTCAGTATTTCTAAGGCAGGTACAGCACTGAAAGCTCTTGCCAGCACATTCTTCACATTTCAGCCAGCATTAGTCGGCATCATGAATCCCCACTTAGGACAGAGGAACTGGATGGACCAGTCTGGTTTGTCTCCAGGACAACTGAGGTACAGGTGCGACAGCCAGACTTGACGGGAACACAGCGACTGTAGCCAGAAGGGAGAGAAAAAAGACCTTTTAAAAATCTGCTATTATGCAATTAAAAGCATGTGGCAAAACTTACTCAGTTTCACTTCTTTAATTAAAATATATATTAAGATGTGAATATTTGCCATCTTTCATTTAATATTAATCGGATCAAGGAAACAGATCAACTTTATTAGATTAAGATCTAAGTAAGATTCATGGATATGTACCAACCAGTAGTGGAAGAGGCATTGAGATCCTTTAGTTAAGTAAAAGTAGTGATACCACAAAGTAAATGTAAGCAAGTATTATCAGATAAATGTCTTTAAAGTAAAGATCTGACAGGAGGTTTGATTTTAAGGCGTCAACAGTTTTAAGGCAAAATACAAATTTTCTTTTCTTTCCCAGTAGAGGTCAAAGGACACTGGGTTTCTTGTGCTACTTCCTGATGGGGTCATGACACCATGTACAAAGTTTAGTTTTCATTTGTAAAAGCTTCCTGTTTCGCAGCATCGCTGCCATTTTCAATCGGCTGTGACTGATGAACACTTTCGAAAATCAAAAATGCATGTCATAACTTTTGTGAGGCTTGTGCTTACTCTGTGCCGATTTCAGTGAAAATTGGAGTGTGTCCAAAGAGTCATAAACGCAAATATGGCGGAAAATCCAATATGGCAGTAATTGACATCATAGGGTGCACTGAATCCAATGGTACTATTTTTGAAAATACGGTTCAAAAGTTACACGTATGAACACACCTCCAACTTTGACCTGCTGTTGGTGCTAAAGCACTTGAGGCACAGACATGAAACTTGGTGAAAAGCATCACAAGAGTGTTCCCAATCAGTGTGCCAAATTTCAAGACTTTTTACCATCTAGGGGCTGCAATAGATTCCCATGGCAGAGGAAGATGAAAAAGATGAATAGAAACACAACAGGGTGCCTTAGTAAGGCAAAAGTATTGGAGAATTGTACAAACTATGGTACTTGAGTAAATGTAGCCTCCTTAGTTTCTTTCCATTAGTGTGATCAAGTTTGTCAAGTGTCAGCTGTAAACAGCCAAACTGTTTACCCCTGCAGCTCCAAGGCCACAAAGAACCTGAGATCTTGGTTTAGCTAACATGCAAAAGTGGGTGAATGGGATTGTAGGCTGTCATGCGTTAGCTCACCCTGAGCTTTAGAGGATTCTTGATCCTCTTTGGCCTAGGCTCTCCAACATCATCTTTACAGTTATCCTGCTTATATACAGTAGGTCACATGCTTCACCTTCCTTAGGTAAATATTGCCATGGAATACCTAAGTGATGGCACAGATTTGTTATAAAGATTTTTAAAAAATGGATGAATAAAAAAACCCATAATGTTTCAACCTTAATCAATAACTAACTGAGCAAATACCCAGAGGGATAAATAGCATGGCACTTGCTGATTTATTATGTTGAGGTTTCAGACAAAGACACACTGGATTACAATGGCTCCAATTCATTCTAGTGATTCTTTTGATGACTTAATGGCTCAATTACGTTTGTGCTATTTTTGAACTAATAGTAGCTCAAAGCTTGTGACCGTAAAATTAGAATTTGTTCATCATTATTCTTTGTTTCATCATTTATTCACTGTTAAAATAGTGTGCTTTCAGAACAAACTGCATGGTACTATGGTAGGTGAATTGAAATATGGGTAACTTAAGGAAGTGGAAACATCATGCTAATGCAACTCAGATGTTCTGTGTTGAGGCCTGTTTTCCCTGGCAGTTGTAACCAGAAGTTCATCCTGATAGGTTATATTAATGACTGTCCAGCTCTTGTTGTATATCATGATCATTTAATTTGTGATGGAAGTTGTATTCAGATAATTTCAGTAAAAGAAGCAATACCACACTATAAAAAAATACTTACTTACATATAAAAGTAAACATACACATGTATTTTCAGCAAAATGTACTTAAAGTATCACTACTTGTGTTACACTGTTATGTTACTGATGCATTAACATGTAGGGTGCGGTAATGTAATTTTGTGGCTGTTTGAAGTGGAGTTCATTTTAACTGAGTTACTTACTTTCGGAAATGAGGTGAAGTGCAGGTATAAAGTCAAATAAAATGAAGATACTCAAGTACAAGTACATCAGAGTTGCATTTAACCTACGGTATGTTCCACCTGTGGATCACCTCATAACTCTGGTTTTGAAAGGTGCTATAAAAATAAAGTGTATCATAACATTTACTTATTTGTGATCAGATCAGTTTTATTACACATTGACAAGTATAAGACCAAATAGCCAGCTCATTTCCCGTTGACATGTGATTTCCTGTTGAAAGCCAAAACACTGGTGACCCTTATTAAATAAAAGCCTATTGGCTTTTTATCAAGGTGCTGTAAAGTTAAACTGTGTTCCTGAACATATTTATGGTGACTGTTAATCAAATTGTCCTGATAATCCCTCCAGGTGAAAACACTGTTAATGTCTGCCCTGCCAAGTTTGTAGACTACAGAGCTTTGAAGGTGATGATGATGATGATGATGATGATGATGATGATGATGATGATGATGATGATGATGATGATGACGGACTCATTTGAGGGCAATCAAAGCTGGGCAGTGAGAGTACTCTATACAGTGAACAGTTAATATTGTTAAAGCGAAGCGCAGCTCATTCG